GTGTTACAAAGTCACCCAGAAGGTGCCCTAATACAGACTGGATCTTGTTGAGATCAGCTGCTGGTTGTGGCAGCACGAGAAGGGGTTTGTGTAAGGATTGTCCAAGCCAGAGGAGTGAATTTTTACGGTGATACTGATTTCTGCAGAACCTTTTGGAATTGTTGTTACCCTTTTTTAACAGCCCACAGGAAGGGAGAGGAGTGAGAAGTGCGTTTCCCAGCCTGGCAGGTTGCTCGGTTCTGTTTCTGTGTGGTGTGGGCAGAGAGCTGAGCTGGGGTGTGGTGCAGGGGGTGCTGGCTGGCAGGCCTGTTCTCAGGGTGGCCTCTCCCCAGGTGGCAGTCTGCAACTTGGCCTCCATCGCCCTCAACATGTACGTCACTGCAGAGCACACCTACGACTTCAAGAAGCTGGCTGAGGTCACCAAGGTCATCGTCCGAAACCTCAACAAAATCATCGACATCAACTACTACCCTGTGCCAGAGGTGAGTGCTGAACCCTGCTGGGGCTCTGGTGGCAAAGGACCTGTTGTCCTGGAGCCATCCCAGTTCAGGCTGGGGCAGAAGGAACCTGTGAGGGATTTTTTTTTTTGTAAATCTGTTTTGGCAAAGAGTTGGGAGCTGCAGGTTGGCAGGTGTGACCTGTTGTTGGGGGCTGCTTCAGTGTCAACTCAGAAGGTTTCTTAGTGAAGCATTTGTGAAAAAAGCCTCCCCTTGAGGTCAGGCTGCACTTGGAACTTTTTCATGAGGGCCTCAAAGATGCTGAGGGAACTAGAGCATCTCTCCTGTAAGGAAAGGCTGAGGGAGCTGGGGCTGTTCAGCTGGAGAGGAGACTGAGCGGGTCAGCTCCTTGAGCTTGATCATCTCAAGGCTGATCAGTATCTCCAGGGGTTTCAGGAGGGGAGGACCAGTCTCTTCTCAGCAGTGCCAAGGGGCCATGGGCACCAGCTGGAGCACAGGAGGGTCGAGCTGAACATGAGGAGGAACTTGTTGCCTGTGAGGGTGGCAGAGCCCTGGGCCAGGCTGCCCAGAGAGGCTGTGGAGGCTCCTTCTCTGGAGACATCCCAGCCCCTCTGGAGGTTCCTGTGGGACCTGCTGGAGGGATCCTGCTCTGGCAGGGGGTTTGTCTGGATGATCTCCAGAGCTCTCTTCCCATCCCACCACTCTGTGACTCTGTAATTCCCATAAAGCACAGAACAGCACTGGGAGTAGAGTGAGAATAATTCTGGAACCATCCTGAGAAAGTGAAACTTGGTCTTGTTGGTTTTATGCATTTTTGGGACTGCTTTCTGGAGTGGGAGTGGGGAGAGGGTTGGTGTTTGCTGAGGAGGAATGGGAGCAGCATTTGTTGCATGGCAGGGACATAGAAAAGCAAGCAGCAGAGCTGGTGGTTTGTGTTGGAGAAGGAAATAAACACCTGGCCTAAGCATGAAGCCAAACCTGATGAGGGTCAGATCTTTCTGGCACATGCAGTTTGTCTGCATGAGTTGAGATGTCTGCACAGGCCTGTTTTGTCTGGGTTTGTTTCTTATTCCAGAAGGTGCTTAGTGTTAATTTCTAAACCCTGGCTCCCTCTGGGTGTCGGGTTGAGGAATTAAAATCAAAGACTGGGCAGGACTGGGAGGTGGGTCACTGCTGCAGGATGGGTGGCCCATAAAGGTGCAGGTGGTACTGGTGGCAGTTCCCCTGGGAGGTCCTTTCCAGCTGGACTGATCCCGTGTGGCTCTGCTGTCCCCTTTCCCCCCCGCAGGCCGAGCGCTCCAACCGGCGCCACCGGCCCATTGGCATCGGGGTGCAGGGCCTGGCTGATGCCTTCATCCTGATGAGGTTTCCCTTCGAGAGCCCCCAGGCCCAGCTCCTGAACCAGCACATCTTTGAGACCATTTATTACGGTGCCTTGGAAGCCAGTTGTGAGCTGGCCAAGGAGCAAGGGCCCTATGAAACCTATGAGGGTTCTCCTGTCAGCAAAGGGGTAAGTACCCAGAACATGAGCAGCTCTGCTCTGAGGACAGGCTGGGAGAGTTGGGGTGTTCAGCCTGGAGAAGAGAAGGCTCCAGGGAGAGCTGAGAGCAGCTTCCAGGGCCTGAAGGGGCTCCAGGAAAGCTGGGGAGGGGCTTGGGACAAGGGCAGGGAGGGATGGGAGCAGGGGGAAGGGTTTCCAGCTGGCAGAGGGAGCTGGAGCTGAGATGGGAGGGAGAAATTCTGGGCTGTGAGGGTGGGGAGAGCCTGGCCCAGGTTGCCCAGGGAAGCTGTGGCTGCCCCATCCCTGGGGGTGTTGAAGGGCAGGTTGGATGGGGCTTGGAGCAGCCTGGGCTGCTGGGAGGTGTCCCTGCCCATGCAGGGGTGGGACTGGGTGGGCTTTGAGGTCCCTTCCCACCCAAACCTGTCTATGAATAATTTACAAGGTGATTTATAAAACTTGGAGAAAAGAGCACCCTGTCTCTCTCCCCCCTGTTCCTCAGATTCTACAGTATGACATGTGGAATGTCACCCCATCTGATCTCTGGGACTGGAAGGCTTTAAAGGAGAAGATTGCCAAGTGAGTTGTGTTGCACACTTTGCATTGGCTCTAAAACACTTTCTGTATGTTCTGACTGACTGAAAGCAAAAGATTGGGAGTAAGTGTAAAATGGTCCTGTGTGTTTCCTCCCTGCCCCAGCAGATCTTTCTTCCAAGCTGTTTTCTGAATGGGTGGCTTCCAGTTTTGTTCTTAAACACCAGAGAGAGCCCATCCCCTGGACTCTGGTCTAGCTGAGCTCTTGTTCTAGGGTGCATCAGCAGAGTGGTTTGTGT